TACAGTTAATGCAGAAAAAATTTCATGACCATTGGCTTCCTCATTAGTAACTAGTACATTTGTAGAAGCACTATCATTCTTAAGACTAATAGAGCTCAACTTCCCACATAAGTCATTCGTTCTGTCTTGAGAACTTAACATATCTTCACTCAAACCATAGTCACTAGCTAATCTGGTCCATGTTGGTATTCTTGAGTTCCATTATACAGTTTACATGCCACCAGGTCATCCTTGCTAAGAAGAAGGGCTGTAAAATTCAGGAGGCATAAACCCTTAGCACATGTATAGGAATTTGCAAATCTAGTCACCAGCTTCTTATTTATAACCCCAAATGACAACAGAAAGCTCCAAACCAATTATCAGCCACCTCTATCAGTCAATCAGTGGCATTTCCACGAACTTTCTGCATACATCAATCAAAAGTCCCAATATAAATAGAGAGAAAAAGGAAAAAAGGAAAGGGATATCAAACCGTACATATATTTGCAGCTAATACTAATGAGCACAATGAAATGTAAACACTTGACGTACCTAAGAGGACTTTCGTCAGCCTAGTTGAGCAATTTCTGCAATAGAAGTGTACTCCTTCCACTGACGACAGACTATTCAAATCTAATCCCCAAAAAAAGAAAGAACAAATCAAGCATAGAATAAGATAATTTAAGCCTCTATTTGGTTTCCATCAGAAATGAGAAAAAAAACCAAAAATATAAGAGTAAAATATATCCATATCCTTGAGTTTTAAGTACAATTCAACTCAAGTTCATTAGTACCTTCCGCCCCAAAATATTTCAATTAATAGGACACTAAAATCTTTCTGTTAATTAACTCCATTAAAAGATTATTTTACCTCTAAAAAATCAGTATCTTCAAATACTCACATAAAATAATTATTTATAATAATAATTTTTTCTTAAAATATATAAATATATTAATAATATATATGATTTTTAGGTAAAATATATAAAAACAAATTTCAAAATTATAATAAAATAAATGTTATAATAAGAACATGTAACATATAATAAAAAAAAATATTTGGCTGAAAAAAAATGTTATTTATAATTGTGAATTATAATAAGAACAAATGTTATAATTAAAACATGCAACATGTAATAAGTAAATACTCATGTATAATAATTATTTGTAATAATAAATTTTTTCTTAAAATATATTAATAATATATAAAAAAATTTTGGAGTTTTTTTTATATATTATTTTATATATTTTTTAAAAAATTATTACAAATAATTATTTTATGTGAGTATTTGAGTATATTGATTTTTTTAGTGGTAAAATAATCTTTTAATGAATCTTTTAATCGAATTAACTGACAAAAAAATCTTAGTGTGCTATTAAATGAAAAGTGTTGAGGCGATATGTCTACTTTTAAATTAACAAATCTGAATTGAATTATATTTAAAACTCAATAACCAAAATCTACTTTACTTGAAATATAAGTCATGCCCGTACATAATTTTTGCATTAATATAAATTATTAAATGAAAATCAACATTTTTGCATTTTGCTATTAAAAAATTTCATATTTTGTTATTCAAAATACAACCTTTTTGCATTTGTTTACTTCCAGAATAAAAAGTTAAATACTAAAAAATAACAATTAAGTTTAACTTAAAACTCGAACTGAAAAGCCAAGCGCAAATTTTGAAAAAGGAAAAAAGATGGATAGTTTTCAACTAACCAGTATCCATTACGATTGGCTTTGCTTCATCCAATGCGATCGCATCATCGCCATTCTCAGACGAATTGAACACCGAATCAAAGCTGGAAACGATAGGATGATCAACAGGAAGAAGCAAAACGAGATTTACCTCAATGTAATCATCCAAAGCTCAAAAAATCACCGGATATACAGAATCGATAAAAACTCTAGGAATCGGAACCCTAACAGACACTTCTACCTTATTTTCCTCTTTGAGCCACGAAACAAGAAATTGAGATCGAGAGAGATTGAGTTGAACTTTGAGGTTCTTGCATTGAATCGGAGGTTTTGTTTGAGAATCGAAGAGGAATAAACGGAGGTTTGGAGTACGAGACTGTGCTTCCCAAGTGAACCGCCATTTTTTAGGGTTTTCAAGGTTTGACATTTTTTACCTTTTCTGGGTTTCCCTTAAAGTGTTCCGACTGTTCGGTTAAGTCGGTGTTATTATGCGCTTAAATTTGAAAAGCGATTGTTTTGTTTATTTCCTGAAATACCCTTATCCGGCTAAGAGCCCACTCAATTGGGTATTTCTGATCAAGGACCAGTGGGGCATAGCCCAGTAGATAACTTTTGGTCCATATTTCCTTACACTTTAGGCCTAAATTTAATTTTTTTAGGAAACTATTTTGTAATAATAATAATAATTTTGAAATAAAGATTTTCAACAAGTGTTATAAAATTCAAAATATGAATTAAGGTTTAAATCAATTAGTTTATATAATTATTTTTAAGATGTAGTATCCAATAATTTTAAATTTTAAATCTTATCACCTGTAATTTTTTTTTTTCATATTCTTAACTTACGATTTTTTTTATAAAAAGTTTTAAAATATTGTAATTAAATAATTTTATTTTTATTATTTCAAAATAATACATTGAATTCTTCTACAAACTTTTAGTTTTTGGTATAACTTTTTTCAAAAAATTTAATTTTGAAACATCATATTTGAACTTTCAAATTTTCTTCTTATAATTTTTTCCCCAAATTCTTAATTTGCTCCTCTTGTTTCAACTTTACTTAATAAAGAAACTGGAAACAAAAAAAGCATTAAATACCAAAATTTTTATTTAAGAAAAGTTCATTACCACAGTGTCATAATCAATTCAATGAAAATTAAACTCCACTAAACCTGATTAAGAAATTAAACCACTTTGTTTTCTGTCATTGAACACATGCTTTTATATATATAATATATATATATATATATATATAAATTGCTTTCTCTTGATTATAATTAACATGCAATTAGATCCAAATGCATGAGCATGGAGCTTTATATGCTTTGCCAACATCATCTAATTTCTATAGAAAAGGTTAACTATAATTTTATAAGTAATTAATTAATTAATTAATTAATTAACTAATTACATTTCTAAGCCTGACTAGTTGTTTGGTTTGTGGTGGAGAAATGACATGGATTTTGTCTACTTTAATACCTAACTTTGTCCACTCCCTTTTTTAAACCTTCATTTTTTTTTATATACATATATAATTAATGACACAAGATTAATTGCCCTTTCCATATGGTTTACACTCTACCATGGGCAGTAGGGCAGCTTTGCCAAATATGTACTGCCCAAAATTGTATATTTTAATACTTTTATATATCCTAATCTTTTTTTAGTTTTATTAGTTAATTCTTTTTCTATAAAACATTTACATATTTTTTTAGATATTACTACTTGGACATGGAAGCGTTTATAGAGCATTCCCCTTCTCATTGATGTGAAATAATGATACTGATTAAGGTAATATAATGTTAATAATCGCACGTCAAGATATCATAAAAATCCGCTATAATATATATTTATATTTGTATTTATAAAATAAATTTTATAAAATAAAATTATAAAAATTTCGAATTAAAACAAACATTACCCTACAAATAGAATGCTATTTTTCATTATTAATTTACTGATTTAATTAGTATTTGCAAATTGTTTTGTCTCATTGACTTTTAAAAAAAAGTGGGAATAAGAAAATTGCAATCACAAAACATCATTAAATCTGTGACTAAAATGTGACATATACGTGTCTCCTGGCTTTACTTGTATCAATTTTCTCATAAATTTGGAGGTTCAATGATTAAGAGATTGGTTCATATATAATAGTTGAGGAATCTTTCTTTAATTTATTATTCTTTTTGGGTAAATAAACAAATTATTTTTGGCCAATCATGGATTACAGGTTAATGAAACCATACCTGAGGATGAGAGATAGGTGAGAGAGGACAATTCCTTTGATTTTACCATATTATTATAGTTAGTTGTCATGGTTATTGGTTTAATATTATATTTAATTGACTAATTGTCTGTTTGAGAAGACAAATTCAAGAGGTTTACTTGAAATCCATTAAAAATATATTTGTTATTATATTTAATTGCATTTTTAATTTTTTATTGAAAACAAAAAAATAAAAAACATATTATTATTTTATATATTAACATTAAATTTTTAAACTTCACAAATTAAATTAAAAATATAATTATTATAAAATTTTTAATGCATATTTTAATAAAATACGTGACGAATACGCTCTAATAAATTATATTTGTGAAGTTTAAAATCTTTATCGCAGAAAGCATAAAACCAAAATCAAATACTAATAATTAATCAAATAGAGTCGTAATTGACTGATTGTCAACAGAGAAAAAAAAAAAAAAAACAGTGTATACGCAATACCATGGTAAGCTCAAAAGAACATGTGGATTGCTTTGGAAAAATCATGATAGTAACTTGAACGATACAACTTCATGTCGGACTTAAGATTGAAGGCCAATTAAAGTTTGACTTAACAAAATTTTCATGTAAAAGACATTATAATAAAATTAATAAATTTTATAAGAATACACATTGGTACATAAAAGATTTTAGTTCGGTGACAAAGGATGGTTGCGGTCAAAATATAGATTTGCACGTTTTAAATTCCTCCTCCATTAATCATTAATTACAGCAATATATAATTTTGAAATTCACTCTTTTTTTTTAACAAAAAAGATAGTAGATAAAAAATAATTTGCATATTTAATAAATAATTATTAATCTATTAAATAAAATACACTTGAAAAGAGAGGAATTATTAATTAGTTTTTCCAAAGCCAAGTTTAACATGATCAATCATGAATTTTTATTATTATTTTTTAAAAATACTTAATTTGTGTGATTAGCATTTTTCTAATTTCATTTTTTTACATAAAAAAGATTGAAAATAAGTACACTTTTCTCCTCGATACCCACCGTGTGTGAAAATAATATGTTAGAGACTTACCAAGATTTTTCCAACCATGAAATCCAAAAGATGATACCATACATATATGACAATAATGTTAGTATTATATTTTTAAATAATTCTTTTGTCCCATCTTATTATACTCATTAATATAGTTCATTGTATAATTAATCAGGCTTTCCAGCATATTATTGTATAATTACCAATAAATTAATTAAAAACCAAAAGGGGTTTGCAACTATTCAACAATGTACAGTCCAGTATGCCAATGCTAATGCCATTGCCAACTTTCTCTCTGGTTATTACAAATATCCATGCATCCCTTCATTAGACAAACCTTATGCCTTAGTTACAACCTAAATAATAAAAGTAAAACAAGAAAAAAAAAAAAAAAAAAGATCACGAGTTCACAACTCCATCTAAAAACACCAGTAAAAAAAAAAAAAAAACCAACATTAATCAACAACCACAAAGCCAGGAGATCAGTACATAATCATGTCAGCAGAAGCCATGACGGGTTGAATGACAGTGAAAGGATTCCATGGATTCATGAAAGTATCATCATTGATCTGATGATGAGAATGGGCAACCTGATCAAAGTTGTTGTCATTTTCAAAAGCCCCATTGCATGACTTTATAAGATCAATGATTTCATTTAGAGATTGAAGCCTGGTACTGAGCTCAGTCATTTGAGCTCTAAGAATCGAGTTCTCAGTCTCAAGGTTCAAGTAAAGCTGTGTGGTGATGTTCATGCTTGCCAGGATCTGGTTGTTGTCATTTTTGAGCTGAGAAACTTGCCCCATCAGATCATCAAGGTGCTTCTGTTTACGCATCCGAGATCGACGTGCAGATTCCCTGTTGGATTGCATTCTCTTGCGCTTCCTTTCATCCAAAATCTGCTGAAAATCCTCCTCGGAACTTAAGCTTCTCAGCGTGCTTGAAGCTGAAGATGCTCCGGTGCTTGAAGTAGCCATAACATCAACAATTATATAACAAAACAACCGAAATAATAAGGGGACTATGCTTGGAAAAAAGAATAGCACAGGACCCAGAATTTATTATTCGAAAAGAAATCAGATATGGGTTTCTTTTTTTTTTTTTCAATGAAAAATGGTTAAGAAAAACTAAAGAAAATAAGGACTGGTTATGGGATTACAGAAAAAAGAGATAGTTCATGAAAACACGTAGAACCAATAAAGGAAAACAACTGAGAAAGATTGAACAAGATGGGTCCTACGCCTAAGAGTAGAGTTGATCGTAAAACCAGAAAGAAGGATTTCACTGAGTACAGCAGACATGAGTTTCAAACATCAATAACAAGATGTTGATGAGCATCAAAAAGATTAATTTGCTAGCCAGACAAAAGAGAGAAACAAAGCGACTCTTGAATCTTGAGTATGCAAGATAAACCTGAGAAAGCTATGGAAGATATCTACAGGAAAGGCTTTGGAAAACTACAGGTAAATGAAGATGAGAAAGCAAAGAGGATGATGAAGGATTTTTTTGGTGGACTTTATAAACCGGAAATGCCCATTGGAAACACATAAACAAATGGAGAACCGTTGCAGTTTTGCATTAAAAAATTGCGGGGAAATTAAATAGTTTAATGCGTCTAGTAGAAAGTTGAAAGTAGGGTCTTTGTACAAGAATTAGTACGCGCAAGATTGAAATTGGCAAGCTTGCAGTAACAGTTAGCTACCCACTGGAAAAATAAACTGCTACGGTAATGTAATGTCGGTTTTCCTACTTTTGTCGGTTTAAGACAGTCGTTTTCTTGCTAGTCTGGCAGCAATTGTAGCAAATCTTCAATCATGGTTGCTTAATGTTGAAGTCACAAACGAAATTAGAAGTTATCGTGCATACACGTTCTGTTCTTTTGTATGGAATGATTCACTTTAAATTCTAACTCGGTAGGTAATTCAAGCAAATGGTTCACAAATAAGGTTTCCAGGGGCGGAAATGTCACTGTTCTTGAAGGAGTCTAGCGTAATATAAGCCGTACAAATGACATGCATTCATGTCAGTTTCCCGAAGATTGGCCCCAATAAAAAATGTAGTTCCAGAGGCCACTACACCAGGCAAGAGGAGGGGACACAACCTCATGGCTAGGTAAGGTTTTGGGCTTTTGGCAATCTTTTGGACGTTGAGTCTGTTTTTTATAGAAAAAAAAAAGGGCAGAAACCACAACAAATATATCTTCCAATAATCTGTTTTATATCAATTAACAAGGAGTTAATGAAGCCTATAAAATTATTTCATTCAATCTGGAGTTCAAAATCATTTTGACTATTGGAAGATATAGGGTAAAGGATATGGACATACTGAGTCATTTGGAGAAGCGCTTAAGATTAAATTACATGAGAAATTCCAGTGACTTTCCTTTGCATTTTATGGTTGCCATAATTATTCTTAGGATTCAAGTTCATGGGCCATGGCTGTTTTCCCATAGTTTAGGTTTGGAGATGACTACTATCCCTTCACATATTCCTAATTCCTAACCCAATAATTAAGCAACAGGGAAATCAAACCCTCCATTAAAAATCACCATCCACTTCCATTAATCAAGAAAAGGAAATTAAAAGCTTTATCTTTCTGATCTGTTAGTTTCTGCATAGAATAAGGATAATAGTTTTAAACGTTTCACATGAATTTCCTCGCCAATCCTTTTCTTGTTTCCTTTTTTTCCTTCCAAATTATTTTTTGTCATTTTTATCAGTAAGCTAATAATAAGCTGCCAGGAAATTCAATAGACACAAAAATCATTCATGCAAAAGATCAGGGGCAATTGGCAAATTGCTAATGGCTGGCGGGGCAATCCATTCTCAAATACTGTTACATGTCTTTTGCTTTACAGTTAGGACAGAAACAAGTTTCACATGCTGCTTTCCAATTTTCATATATACAATACATAGAACAAGGGAGTGGCCGTCTCTTCTGCCTGCCAAAATATTTTATTCAGCTTCTTGATCTTAAAAGCAACAACTTTGTTGTTCAAACTTCCTCTCTCTCTCTGCTTGTCTTCCATCATTGGTAATTGCATTGCATTTTCATGATAGCCTAGCGTTTTACCCCAAAATGTCCAAAAAAAAGGATCAATGTTATGCTGTAAAATACATCACTGATGAAAATTTTAAACTTCGCTTCTGGTGTATTAAATAAATTTTCATAAACTTAATAGTAATGTAATGATATTTGTTTCAGAATTGAACTTGGAAGTAAAAATATACCAACATTTTTCCAATAAATTTTGATTTGTCAGAATGGATTTGATAAAATATTTGAACAATATAAAAGCATCTAGCTCTTGTAAAGCCCCAGGAGCTGGTTATTCTTTCCTTAGTCATTTTTATATTTAAGATTCCCTTTACTAATCTTTTTTACTACTTTGACATTATTATATATATATATATATATATATATATATATCAATGCAATATTCACCAGATCATTTAGAACTGAGGAAGGTGCGAAGTTTCCTATGATTCTTCATCTTCCATGGTAAAATCTTGCATCATCCCAAAAGAAACAAATATTGCTCCTAGATCATATATTTATGACAAACATTGTGATTCAAAACGGACATAGAGTTGTGAATTCAAATTTTAATTAAATTTATTCATATAATTATTTTTAAATATAAAAATAACATTTAATAAATTTAAAATTCAAATCCAATGCTCACAACTTTTTTTTTTATCTGCATGACCTTTTTATTAGAAAAAAATAACAAACAAACGTACATAGTTGTCACGTGGAATTTCTGAAGAAAAACAAACAGCAATGCAGCAATATCATAGAAAGCCACAAGAAACTGTTATTATATTACTATGGAATCCAACGATATCCGGATATTCATGTACAAGAACTCGTTGGTTTCTTTTGACAATGTTGAAATTGTTCGCTGGCTGGCTGGCTGGCTGGCTGGTTCGGACTAACCAAATTTCTCTTTGATTTGTCAGTGGGCAATAAGCATTATTAACTGGTATTAATTATAAAAACAAAAGTAGACGGCCTCATCAGCAACTGAAAGAGAAGGCTTTTGACAGAGAGAGTTTATACCCCTAATGCATGTATATGCCATGGAAGATTCCTAGTTGCTGCATAGTGCAAACATTATTTTTTTTACTTTTTGGTTAATATATGAAATAAAATTAGATCAGAGCTGGACTTGCAACTAAAATGAGTATAAAGTGGTTGGCACAGAAAAAAACAAAGACAAAAAAGGGAGTGAAAGTGGGCGCAGGTCATGCTTTAAGTTGATATCTTGTAGGAACCTTGAAGCTACAACTATGGTTTTGACTAACCAGGATTAAAGATAAGTTGACCTTGATTACGCCTAAATGCCTCAACAGGGAAAAGTAAAAAATGCCACAGCATGAAAAAAGAAGAGTAAATGGTGAATATTCTATCACAAGCTACAATAACAGCCAAATTTCTTCCTTATTGTATTCTCTATTGTTTTTTATTTAACAAGATTATATAGAGGTCAGCTCAGCATTAACAGAATGAGAAGACCTCTAGATTAAAAATAATACCATAAATATTTACAAGTTACACGAGCCAAAGTCTGCTACGAAGAAGCCAAACTATTAAACAAGATGTTAAAACAAAATCTTGGTACAATTGCTAAGTTCCAACTTCCTAGGCAGAATTCTCAATAGTGATCTTCTAGGTCAAACAATAATACTGGTTCTGAAAGCAAATCATAACAAAGCAACAGAACCAAGCATAGCTAAAACAATGTCATTTAAGCATTTGCAGATGCACCCTCAGGGTGGTAGTGAAGCATCTCAGTCCACATCATCTCCCTAATCATCTGTGCTCCCATGTTCTCATCTATGTCAAGATCAATTGGGACTTGTGCAGGTGGATTGAACCTTGGATCATATAGACCTGACATGTAAGGATGTAGGAGTGCCTCGGTGACGGTAATTCTCTTAGATGGGTCGAAAATAAGCATCCTTTGCAACAAATCTATAGCTAATGGATCAGCTTGAGGGTATAAATGGGAAAAATGGGTGCCCCTAGTGTAAGGAAGTGACCTCATATACCTTCTGGCTTTGGGATTATCAATAAACTGAAGATCAGCCTCTTGCTGGCTTCCAAGGACATTGATAATTAGGTTAAGCTGGTTAAAGCATTCTGTTCCAGGAAAGATAGGTTTGCGACCAAGAATCTCTGCAAAGATGCATCCTACCGACCAAACATCAATGGAGGTTCCATAATTATCACAACAGAGTAGGAGCTCAGGTGCACGGTACCAGCGGGTGACAACGTACTCTGTCATGAACTGTTTATTGCCTCTGCTGGTTCGGGCCAGCCCAAAATCACATATCTTCAGGTCACAGTTAGCATTGACAAGAAGGTTCCCAGGCTTTAAGTCTCGGTGAAGGATGTTTGCTGAGTGGAGGTATTTCAGCCCTCGTAGTAACTAAAATATATATTAAAGGTTAGTTACAAGCTGACAAATACTTCACAGAAGAAAGAAGTTAGAAACTTGTTACAACTTTATTCGGAGACAAGTTTTCTTAAGCATAGCAATGCCATAGAGGTTTTCTATTACTCGTAAGATTCTGCTTAAGACAGTCAAGAAGGTTTCTGTATCTCTTTGGTTTTGCTGATAAACAAAATAATTTCTAACTTTACTTTTACCAGATACATATCCTGTCCAGATAACCAAGTAGAAAAATCATTCCGTTAGCATTTGTTGAAGCAGTTAAGTTGTCAAATAAAATAGCCGGTAAACCAAATGAAACGTGAGAGAAGGGAAAAGGAAAGAGGACTAAGCGGAAATAGACTGAACCAGAAAAGGCCTTTGACATAGAATGCATACGTGAAGAACCTGAGATGGAAATAGAATTTAAATTTTACTTGTAATATTCTACATGAGATTGTGAAGTTCGCCATATTACATATGCTATCAAAGAAGCAACGTAATTTTCTAACTTATAATTTTCTAACTTTACATTATTATTACCAGATACTGACTCTACCAGCTTGACAATTACAGAAATCAGTCCATAAGTATTTAACGAAGCAATTATGTTGACAACCAGAAAAAGCTGTAAGAGAGGATCGATATACTATTCTTTACCATCTTCCAAAGAAAGCAAATCAAATGAGCCGTAATGAAGAGGAGGTGGAAGCAGAACAAATTGAATCAGAAAAGACCCTTGCTAAATGAAATGAACACGGTATACCATTCTGGCCTTTATCATTGTGAACAATGCTAACTGAACAATTCTCCTTCAATGAATGCATCTGTATTCCTTAAACTGTTGCTTGATTGTCATTATGTCATCAGCTTGTACCATAATGAACTACTAATAAGTTTCCACCGGTACAAGTTGTTACTTACACTGAGCCTCATAACTCATCAACCTATTTTTCTGCTGAACTAAATGCAATTTGGGACCTGATGAGCAGGAAACTCATAAAAGCCCCCAAACCGAAGAACGCACAGAAATTAAATATCAAAGGACAGCTATTAATGCTAAGTAGACATTTTGCTATGTAAAGGACCCCACCAAAAAGGTGAAATCATCAAACAATAAAATGGTAACAAGGCTAATGACCTTTGGTAAGTACTTTAAAACAACAAAGCAAATTCATTAATACTCAGCATGCATCTAATACCAAGATTACCATCTAGAATTAGTGAATGTTTATAAGAACCAAATTACCATATATAACTTCTTTCAACAAAATCGTTTCTGATAATCCAGGACAATTGGAAAGCGAAGGGAAAACTTCAGAACAGGACATAGAAATTTATCTGTTACATCTGACATCATGACATCAACAAAACGTCACACATTATGATGCACGAAAATATATCAACAATTCTCATTGCAAAACAATAAAAATAAGCAAATCACATCCTTAGTAGCAATCAAAGCAGTGAACAGAAAAGAAAAGAAAAGGCAAAGGGTTATTTTACAGTACCTGAAAAATAAAATACTTGCAATGATCATTAGAAAGCGGCTGAGAAGACTTGATAATCTGATGCAAATCTGTGTCCATAAGCTCATAAACCAAATAAACATCCTTAAAACTGGTTCTCTGAGTTGGCATCATAACATCTTTCAAAGCAATCACATTCTCATGTCGAATGTGTCTGAGAAGTTTCAACTCCCTCAAAGTTCTCAACGCATCAACACGATTCTCAAACACATTGTTGATCTTCTTTATAGCCACTTTCTCATTGGTTTCGCTGTTGATAGATGAGCAAACAACACCGTATGCTCCTCTCCCTATAGCCTTGATTGGAACATACTTTGTGTCAATCTCGAAAAGGGTTTGCCACATTGAATAGTAATGCTTCCCTGTTGGCCTCACCCCATTCGGTGGCTCCACAAGCCTCGCCATTCCTCTGTGAAATTCCCAGAAAACCAAAATCACCATAAAAAAAATTAAATTTAACCAAAAAGAAAAAGAAAAAAGGGGCTTGGAATCAATTCTTACTTGCCGCTTCCACTTCTTTGCTTTGATCTTTTTTTAATCAGCTTCTTCACTTTTTTCCTATAAAGAATATTAGAAAAACCCAACTTTTTTTGCTACCCCTTTTCTTTAATCTATCAGCAAACAGCAAATTCACCAACTTTCAAATCATTCCTCTGTAAAATTTAAAACTTTCACCTCCGTTTCTTCCAGTAAAAAAAAAAAAAAAACCAACTTTTTTCCTACCCTTTTCTTCAACCTCTAAACCAACTCCAAATTCACATCCTACTGTAAAAAAGAAAAAGAAAGCCTCTTCATTTGTCTACCCCAAAAACAGAAGTTGGGCCTTTATGCAAAATTCTTATCCAAAACAAAGAGAAGTGATCTGATCTGAATTTCTGGTCCGATCAAAGGTACAAGAGAGAGAAGAGAATATATAGAGAGAGCATGTAAAGGAAAGGGGCAGGGGCGTGACCCCCACACGGGATTTCCCTTGACTGAGACATAAACGACCGCTGCGTATAGTTTTTGGTTTTTTGGGGTTTTAGGAAAATATCAATATAATCTCTTCTCTCTCTTCATGTACAAACAATCTTAAGCCTTTTTTTTTTTTCTTTTCAGATAATTTGCAGCTTGGCTGGCTTGAGCTTTCGCCACGCACAAACCTTAAACTACACTGTTCTCTCCAATTTCCTCAATTTTGGGGAAAGAAAAAGACTCTATCTTGTTTACTAATGCTATAAAATGAAAAAGAAAGTTACTATATTGAGATCATTCTTTTTTAGGCTTAGAATTTGATAAAATTATTTTTTTTTCAAGGAATGGTTGGATATATCACCAATTAATTATTGTAACCTGTTACTTTTCATTGAAAAAAAAAAAGAAAAAAAAAATAAATATAGTAAAATCTTTTCCATTTTTCTGTCAGTTTTTTGAAATTTTTTTCCTTGACATTGTATTCATATGCTTAACTATTTAATTTACCTTTCATATCTTCAAATTTTTTAAATTTTTAACAAAATTATATATTTTTTAACAATACAATCAAAATATTTTTAAATTTTATTTAAATTTAATTTTTTTGAACGAATTAACAAATGTACTTCTAGCGTAATACTATTTGTAATTTAAGTATTTGGTTTATTTGATAAGGGGTTTTAACTATTACTAGAGTACAAAGAAAGAATTTTCATTGAGTTAAGATCCAAAATTTTGTTTTCTATCAATAATTCCTATTGGTATAGCACTTGTTGACATTTTCGATTTTTTTTTTTTGTGAGCCAGCTTGGAGCTGAAAGCTTTCCCAACCGATGGCTAAAGTTGGTTTCACATTGATAAAAACGTGGAAGAGATGCTTATTCTTTGAACGCATTCGCCTTTACCTTTGCTTTTTCTTCAATCATCACTCCCTCCAATTCAACCCAATCGTGAATGTTTCAACGACAAATTCGATGATTTCTCAACCGCCCCCCGCCCCCTCCTCTTTTTCCAAGTAAACACGCCGCGCCAGCTGTGACCGCTTTAGGCCGGCGGGCTTGCTTTTATTTGTAGAAATTCCCATAATAGTTAAATTAACACGAATTGTTAAGATTGAAAAAACACTATCATTTTAGGATAATGAATTTTTTAATATAAAAAATTATTGTGTATTATTTTTTGCAAATAATTATATAAAATAATTAAATTAAGTCTCAAATATATCATAAATTACTTTAAATGATACAGAAGTACATATTTACTAAAGTAAATATTTTTCAAAACTTTAAGTTTGTCAGAATTTTAGAATTAAAAAGAGTTTTCACTTTCATCGGTTAAAAATTGTACTTAAGTAATTATGAGATTAATGATTCTACATCTTATCAAAGGTCAAAAAAGAAGAAAGAAAGAGCAAAAGGGTGACTAAATGGTTAAAGTGACCAAATCTTAAAAATGTTTAGTCGCTTGTTGATGAAGCATATTATGGTAATCTTATTCAAGATCAATGGGATTAGTTTGCACATGATGAGATGGGGCTGCTTAATTCTAGTAGTTAGGAAGGTAGGTGGGGGCAAAGTGCAAAAAAGCAGACTTTGACATAAATTTTAGATTAGATAGATGGGTTAATGCAAGGTGATATCATGGCGTTCCTTTGTCATAATTTGATGATTAATGTCGGTTTGCCACTTTCCACTTGACCTAACATGACAACAGTTTTTGTCAAAGAACAAATTAAACCATTGATAATAGGAAAGTAGGATGTAATAATGGACGGAATTACTTTTCCTTTTTTTTTTTTCTGAAAATAAAAACAAATTAGCTTCTTGAATTTTTTTCAGAAGAGCGGTTAAAATCGCATAAACAATTGTCACTCCACAAATCATTTTGTATAAATTTGATTAAGGCACATGATGAAGCTTAGAGATTTCAATGTCCCCACAATGTGTCCATTTCGTAAAAATTCATCGCAATCATTTTATTTTTCACTAATCTCTAAATAGAAATTCGAACACTTTAGCATTTTTATAATATAGACTTTCTCATTTTATATTATGAGGTTGACAAGTTTTCTTAAATATACTTATTTAATTTGGCTTCATTTATTAATTGCTGTCTGCATAATTTGTAATAAATAGTACATAAAATTTACTATATAGGCGTGGATCATCTGTCTTTATTATGGGTTAATCACATGGATGCATGAGTCACATGTAATGATGAATATGACTAGCTAAAAGGAGAAATGGAAAAATAGAGGGAGGAACTTTTCACATGTGGATAGAGGTTCCTTTCTGCAAGGTCTGCAAAGAAACTGATGGACTCGGCAATTTTCGATTTTATTTGCGCTTTAAAGCAGAAGCTGGGAGAGCAAAAACCAAAATGAAACTGAAAAAGCCTGAAGGCAGAAACTATAACCATTACTTCTGGTTTTTCAATATCTCATGCCTGGCTAATAGCTAAATGTACTCTGGCATTTTGTTCAAGTGATAAGTACTTGTACTAATGTTCTAAGAACAAAGTTAGAAGCCTCATTCCGGAGGGCTCCTACGGTTACAAACTAAGCATAAAAAAAGCCATTAGGCCAACCTGATAAAAGACACATGGTTTAGATCTCTCTGTCTCTCTTTTATTTATAAGAAAGAGGCTGGTATCACTGGTCAGAGCCTTGGTAACTCAAGTGCATGTAAAAATTTGAAAAGGTAACGAAAAGAGTAGCAGAATTGTGACCGCTGGAATTTGAGCCCAGGTTTCCACCGGCACAACGTGAAACCCTTACCACTAACTATAGGGCCCTCGAATAAGCCGAAATTTCATCATGTAAATATTATAAGTTCTTATCAGATTCTTCCCTTTAAAGGACCCTGAATTTGATGAATGGTGACTTGGGTAAAATAAAAGCATGGTCCCCCAAACCGGGATTTTCTGCTCTACATGATAACAAAAGTGAGCATTTATTCTTCTAGGATTCAAATGCCTTTGTCTTCTTCTTAAACATCTTTAATTTGGCCAACTTTAGACCACCTTTTTGGGGTTTTTGCCACTTCTCTATAGTATTATTACTATTCAATTTCATCACGACTCTTATTTTCATTCATAAGTTTACAAGAAACTCTGATTATAATCTTGTTTAACAAAGTAGAGAAGACAAATAAGAGCATATATAAGGCTAGGTCTATATTCTTGTCAATCTCTAATTTATATAAAACTCACCCATAATTTGACAATATTTTTGTTGTGTTTCTGCGGATGAACCAGACTTTTTCATTGGTCAAGTCGAACTTAAAAATTTGTTGTTCTATACATATTAAAATAATATTTTAATATTTTAAAATATATTTTAATTTTAAATAAAAATATTTTTATTAACTTCAAATTTCTTATGCAAAATCCGACTCTAATTTAGTTTCACATTCTTAGTCGATCTTTGGACATGAAAAAAAAAAAAAAACTTGCATCTTATAATTAAATTTGGATTATGCATGGATGAACAATACAGGACTAAAACCCAACATATATGTTACGTTTTTTGTTTTTATTTTTCATAAAATTTATTAAAAAATATTTGATAAATATTTTTTACTAAATTTTATTTTTAAAATAGGATCCACTTTATACCAATTTTTTTCTTTCATTTTTATTTTTTTTAAGATTTTAAAATTATTTTTTAATGAGATCTATTTTATATTTAGGGTCTGCAGTGTTTGCATTTTTTATTATTTATATTTTATAAATATTTTTTTAGATTTTAAATTTTTTTGTCTCACCAATACTATAGTTTGTCATGTGCCAAGTTATCATTTTTTCTATTTACCATTTTAAAATATTTATATATTTTAATAATATTTTATCTTAGGATAGGTTGAGGGGATATTTTGTCATTTTATTTTCAAATAATATATCTTGAGATTGGTTAAAATTTTTATAAGAGAAACGAGTTCAAGTTAAAAAGTATATTTAAGGTGTTTTATCTTAAGCTATTTAAAGGTATATGTAAAAGTCATATTTTATTATTTTATTTAACTTTATACATTCATATATATATATATAAAATGTATGTATTATATTAATAAAATTATTTTTTAATTTAATAAATTAATATTTCAAGCTCAATAAGAGCTATCAATGTGACATCATCTCTGAACTTTTTTATCATTTATCATGTTTTTTTTTTTACTTTTTTTATATTTTTTTTATTTGATAGATTTATAAAAACCGAGATCAATTAGGGTTAGATTAATTTTGTAAGAAATATACGACAAATAAAGATGGCAAAATATTTTTTTTTTTCTGTAGCAATGAGCAAGTACTTTTTAAGTATATAACTATAATTAAAAGTAAACCCCACTAAAATTACATTAATACCCTTTGAATTGTTTCATAATTCATTGACACATGGCATTTTATGTCATCCTTTACATAAAATACCCTTCTATATCTATTTAATTACATCATATAAATTATTATAATGCCTCTCCTATTATAACTAATTAAAATTACTATCTTGCCACTCCTGTCATAATTATATAAATACTTGTTCTATCATAATGAGCAAAAATTACTATATATTATTTTTATCATAATTATGAATATACCCTTATTATTATAATTAGCCAAAATTACAATAATTTTTTCGATATTATGAAAATACCCTTTTAATTATTTTATAATTACATATTAAAATTTAATATCTATATAATAATATGAAAGTAATTCCTTTGAAAATGATCATAATGCACTTCTAATTACTTAGACAATTGATTGACATGTGAGCAAATTAATTGTAATGCCCCTCCTATATTTATTGAAATACCCCTCTTACATAATTGATTAAAATTATTATAATATCCTTCTAACATGATTACGAAAATGTTTTTCTACTATCATTGATCAAAATTACTATAATACATTTCTTATTATATTAAAATTATTGGTTTTTTCCTTAAAAATTAAGTTGAATGGGTGATAATATTAGTAAGTTTTGATTTCATCAGTAAATGAGTTTGAATTTGATAATTGATCAATATTAATAATAAATAAATATTATATCTGTAAATTAAATTATCATGTATATATTAATAAGTTTAGATTTAATTTATATAATTTTTTAATCTAATCTCTCTTATTTAAAATAAAAGCCAACATACGTTCAATTATAATTGATTGACACAATTAAAATATTAATTTTTTATTTTTTCAAAAAATTATATTTTTTAAAAATTAAAAATAAAAAACCAACAAAATAAAAAAATTATTTAATTTTTTATTTATGAATTTAAAAAATAAAAAATTATATTTCTTCAAATTTAAAAAAAAAAAAAATTTGCAACCCGAGCTACGACGGGTAGTTTTCCTAGCAATAATAAATTTTGATGTAGGAACTGTAGGGAAAAGAGGGAATTAAAGAAATCCTTGAGCATGGTTGACTACAAACAATGACTGCGAAAAGTAATGGCAGCGGAGATGTTATTGTATTCTTTGGTCTTAACAATTTTTTATTTTTTAATAAGATAAGACATATATATCTTCAATTATGTCAAAGCACATAATGCATCCCAGCGTGGATTCCAATTGGGGGCCTATGTACGCAAGTGGATTAGACAGTCTAGGTGCTCTCTCACTTTGAATTTAATACTTCATTTCTCCTTATGACATACAAAATGGGACCTTGGAATCCCAGTCTTATTCAAAAAATTTGATAGTTTTTGCCCTATAAATCTAAAAATAGATACCCAAGCTGGTAATGAAATGCTTAAATGCATGTCTTGTTTTAAATAATCTGAACCATGCATAAGAAACCAACCCAATGTTGAAACATGAGGACTGATTACCAAGAATGAAAATGTTATGGATGATGGGCAGCTTGAAGGGACTGAATCTCGCCCATAATCCCCATACTTCATTTTCTTTATCATCTTTTCCTCTCAGCTAACTTTTCTGGGTTCATTATTTGCTTATTATATATATAGGTCTCTTTTTGTTGAAATGACATCTTGATTTTCTTTAATCAAACAATTCAGAAAGTTTCAGCTCCATCACACACTAGCTAGCTTTTAATTTACTGTCTTCATACAAGACTTATATTAGTCTGCTTAAGCTGATCAGATCCTTCATCGCCTTTCTGATCTTTCAATTATTTGTTTCCCAAACTTGATATCTTATCAATTGTGTCAGGAAAACATGCTAAATTGTTTGAACTTGGGAGGATTAACTAGTGGTACAACTAAGTAGAAAAGATATACAAGGCACTTGATCACAAATATAGGAACTTATTACAAATTTAGTATACCAATCATTGTAAATGGTAGAACATATAGCATGTTTCTTTACCTTGAGTGAAGAGTGCTTGCATGTTAACTAATCTTATGTATAACAAATCCCAATTTGACCAATAGTGAAGTAGTGTTGGGTTATAGACGTTGCATTTTAATTTTGGTATTAAATCGAGAAAAAAATCTAAAAATCAACTTTTTTTTTTATATATAAAGAAAGTTATAATTTGAAAATAAATAAAAGATTAGAAATGTTAAAATTTAGATTTTAAGTTCAATGAATATCACTTTTTAAAAATAATTACATAAATCAATTGAATTTAACTCTGAATTTATTAACTACGATTAATCTTTAAATATTGCCATAAGATTATATTGCCATCTTAACCAAAGTCCGCTCACACACAGCTAGCCATAAAAAGTAGAGTACCATTTCCCTTGTAATGGCTGTGATATCAAATAGGACTATAATTATAAACTAATTATTATCATATTTCATGTACAGTAAAAGTATAGAACTTAATATAATCCGGATTCCCTGTGGCTTTCCCTGGTGGCTATGATTTAACAACTTAATATTTTGTAACTTTAGAATGATAACCCTACAAATATGCCTATATATATATATACATATATATATGTGTGTATATATGTACATATATACACATATGTATGTACATATATATATATATATATATATTGCTTTATGTAAGGCCTTTGAACAAAGTGAAAAGAAAGAGCATTTTCAATCAGAATTTTCCTCTTCAGACCCTTTCTTAATTTGAGTATATCTCAGTGAAATTCCAAAGTCAGGATTTCAATCATGTCTCATCGATCTATGTGACCGTGGAAAGAACAGAGAGGACAAAACAAGAAACTTCATCCAATATAGGGTTCGTATCACTACCATCCAGTTATAGGGCTGGCATCACTACCAAACTGAAGCAGCATAAAGTTTCTCGCAAGTTGAAACCACAGAGTTTTAAAGAGGGTATTCATTTTTTTTTTTTTGTTTCAGATGCTACTTCGAGCTAAGACTTTGCAGTTGCAGGGGGAGGAAATCAAGCGAGAAAAGTGGTTAAAGGCTGACGTGGTTTTCTGAATATTACTTCCTTTCAACCAAAGGGAGAGGTTTGGTTTATTGGTATTTTTCAAGTGTTGCCACTTACTAGAATCATTATGGAGTCTGCAAATCTTCATCCTCGCCATAAGGTTCAAGAGCAGTGTGTTAAATATTTCTCTCGGATAACTCAAGCAGGCCATCAAGTTTCAACCACATATGAATGGAACCCAAACCTCTTTCCGTAAGCACTAAGCTACTAGCCAGTTCTTCCATTTTTGCTTTCCCTGGAAAGGTTAAAGCATCTGTTGCTCCATTGCTATAGTCTGAGCTTACTTATATATATGTAAACTGTTCTGATTATTACTTGTAGTTCTTCTATATGCCTCTTCTGGTTTTATTCATGCAACACATATGCCTTGGAAGTTAGTTACTTAAAAGAATGGGAAAAAAATAAAACTCAATAAGACGTGAGAATCTAAGACATCTTCATTACTCTTATTCGATAAGATTTGAGATAATTTTTCCATTTGTAAGTTACACCAACGATACCAAAGCCTATAGGCTATATGAACATGAGGATAAAAACAAGTTTCTTGCTTTTGGGGCTTGCTTGATTTTCAGTATAATGGTAAATTGGTAATGTTTTCATGTTGAATATATTGTGTTTATCGTTATGTTTTTCATGCAGGAATATTGGTAGTAAATACAATAGGAATCAGGCTGAAACCATCCCAAAATCAAGGGATCTATGGCCACCGCCTTTGATCAGGACTTCCATGAGTCAAGGTAGCGTCAACCAACAATCTGCAAGTGAATTTCTCCTTGCAAATATCAAAGATGAGATGTCAGATTCCTTCCCCAAACTGAGTGAGATGATGTACTTTCACTCTAGTGCAGCGGACACATATGTACCATCTAAAAAACACTATCCAGAATCTAGTGATCATGATCTAGGAGGAAATCCAGGGCACAGCAATTTCTCCATTGCTAACAACATGACGGAGTTGCAGCTTTCCTCAGGAGACTGGTACACTAATGCTCATCACCCCCCATTTTTGGGAACTGCAACAGCAACTAGCAGATATGCATATGATTTCAATCATATCTTTCCAAGTACAAATATTTCCACCTCTGATTTGTGTTCCACATTGTTTTCAAGCTCTTTGGACTTGAACTTGAAATCCTTGGATCTTTTGACCTCAACGTATGATGGTGGGAGTTGTAATCAATCTTTAATTGATAGTCCTGGGAAATTAAGCAGAAGTGTGTTTATGGGTCATGATCACAGAAGAGAACGTTGTGATAGTGCGTCCATCAGTTCCAAAGTGGATATCTTTCTCTCTTTTTCTTAGTTATGCCACTTTGAATTTTCATGCATTTATAAGAAACTCCGGTTTACTACCAAACAATAGAACTTAATAATGGAGGAGCCTTAGTTGGAAAGAAGCAAGAAAAAGGATTGATTTTCCATTTTTAGTTTTACAAAAGGAACCTTCATTTTCACCAGCAATGAGAGAGTTCTTTTTCCAGTTCAATATACTACATGTTGCCATTGTTGCAAGCTTTTTTCATCGATCACTTTAACATGATTCTCCTCTCGTGATCCATAAACTGAATTGCTTTTCTTTTCATCATCTTAAAGGTATCAGCCTTTGTTAGTGGATCAATCACAAGCAAAAAGAGGCCTGGTAGCTTTTCTGAAACAAAGGAATCCCATACAGATGCTAAGAAGCATCGGTCCTCAATGTCACGATCCCCATGTCAAACATTGAAGGTGATACTAATATTCCACTAGCAACTCTTCCAAGTTGTAGCTTTCTATTTCTCTTTTTTTTTTTTTTTTTAATTTCTTACTAGTTTGGATTTTGGTGTTTAACTACAGGTTAGAAAAGACAAATTAGGAGACTGGGTTGCAGCTCTTCAGAAGTTGGTGGCACCTTTTGGCAAGGTACATTTCATTCTGTGTTACTTCCTCATCACCATCCACTTAAAGTGATTGAGATGAGAGAGTTTTAGACTTGGAAAAGTTAAAATATTAATAGGGTCATGCTTACGTATCTGAATTTCTGTATGGAGTGATTGCCAGACACATACAGCCTCTGTGTTGACAGAAGCCGTTGGGTACATCCAATTCCTCCATGACCAAGTTCAGGTATTTTTCTTTCTTTTGGTTATTTTCTTCCTTTTCACTGTTGTGGTCAGTTGAAATAAGCTAATTAACTTAAAAGAATATATATATAGTTGCTTTGGGATCCTGAAAAAATTTCTTCCATTCCCTTTGCAGACACTGAGCGTGCCATTTATGAAGTCATCACAAAGCAAGCTTTATAGAACAATGCAAGTGGTATGAAATTCCCTAGCTATCTCAATAAACCATAAAGTTGCTTATCAAATAACTTTGGAACTTGATATTAATCATCATTAATAGGAAAATCCATTATTGGCAAGAGAAAATTTACAAGTTTTTCTTCTTATTGGCAGGGTTCAAAAGAGGAAGAAGGAAAACAAGAGCAGAAGTGTGATCTCAGAAGTAGGGGACTATGCCTTGTGCCCCAGTCTTGCGCATCATATTTTATTAGTAGTTGCAGTAGTGGAATTTAGACAACCCCCCCCCCCCCCCCCTCTTGAGAACTTGAGGTTGTACATAAGAAAAATGATTTTGGCCTTTGGGATTATGAAAATTTATAAACTACAGATGTAGGACTGTAGGCTCAAGGTCTGGTTATAGAGACTTGGAGCTTTAGCTGGCCCATGTATAGTTGTCAAACTCCATGAAAAAATGTTTATTAAGGTCATCAATTTGGAAATGTTATTAAACTTCCCATAAAACTTCCCCACTTGAATGGATTATCAATTTGAAACAACAAACTTGGATAAAAAATAATAATAATAACAACCAAGCTGCATAAATGTTTAAATCTCTGCAGTTGCAGCAGCGATAGCCGATTAGGATTACCATATTATTGTGACAGAGACTAGGAATTAAGTATGTAGATTACCACTCATTAGACATCCCCTGCATGCATTCAGGAACTTTCATTGATTCCTTCTGTAATCCTTGGATTTAAGCAAGGGAGATAAAAACTAAAAAAAAAAGAAAGTAGATGGTCGAAAACGTGCCTGGCAACAGGTATATATGTACATTGATCTATACAGGCCAATTTAAATAATGCATATATGATAAAAAGAAGACTTTACATTTGCATCTTATGAGTGGAATATTAGACTAGAGTGCATTTAGGGGGTGGCCTTAAAAAACGAATTACCCCACCACCAGTTTCCTGAGCATCTGTCAGCATCAGCTTTTCTTTCTTTACCAGAACTGTCAACAAGCAAATCAATTTCAGACGCAACTTCATGTAAATCGTATCGTTCATAAGAAAAATATAAATGGGCAATACTATGGTCGTAATAGCTTACCAAGGTCCTCTTCTTCCTTTTCTTCTTTTTGTCAAGATAAGCCACGAGCTCCTGCTGTTGAGCAAATGAGTCTTCTAGAGCCTGAAAAAGCAAGGCAATGGCAATCACTTTAAGTGCAACATTGCAATTAAGCATTTTTCCAGTTCTTTCTTTTCTTCTTGTCTGTGCAAAATTATGTAGCAAGGGAAAGGTATGCAGGTGTTGTTATAGTTATTTTAACTTGCATATCATGTCTTTGATTTGAAATAGCATACACTATTGAAACTGATATTCAGAGTTAACAATGACTGGGATATGCAATTAGGATCAATGTTTCACAAGTATAGCTTGTGCTAAACTGGTCAATAACATGGCTTACAAATAATTTCATCAAAAGCAGCAGTGTTTACCTTCTTGGTTGCCATAAGCTCTTGCTCCAAGGCATCAGCCCGGTTTAGTGCAGAATTCAACATTTTCTCCTTCTCTGGGGGCATTGTTGTAGGTTTAGTGTTCATAACACTTACTCTTTCTTCCAACTCAGCCATACGTTTCATGACGGACATCAATTCAGAAGTGGATATAGCTGGGGATAACTTGGCTGAAGTTTCCTGGCTCCTAACCTCTGTGTCAACACAGTAAACAGGACTAGAGTATATGTTGGCATCAGTGAGCTTCCTGGGCATGTTACGTGTCACTTTGATCATGGTGGCAATACCCATAACAACAGTCATGACACCAGTGAAAAGATGAGAGCTAAACCCATCAGGAACCTTGCAAGTTTCATGCATAGTATAAGAATCTGTCATTGCAACAATAGAAACCTTAGCACCTATTATAATTTAGGTTAGACACACATTAATAGAGGCAGTATCAGACCTAATGGACTCAAAAAACAAAAAGGCCTTCTATATAATGTATTTCATCAAAAATAAGAAAACAGTAACAGAGAAATAGGTGATATCCATATTCTTTCATTTCCTTCATCAGCAAAAGAACTTAAAATGATGAATTGAGGTATCACAACATTTTATTGTATTATCCTTGGCCATAAATTAGCTTATAAATTTGGTGTCCTGATCTATTGATTTTGACATCGTTTATATACTTAACAAACTGTTCTGTCCCTGATACTGAACTCTGTAGTTCTAGTTGTTCTTGTGCTTAAAGAACATTATATATACATATATATATATTTATATGAGGTGTTCATAACAATATGAATAATCAGCCTCCTTAAACTAGATGGAGGAATATGCAGAGCAAACAGTCTCCATAAACTGCTTTATGTGTGTGTGTGTGAATATTAAAGGTAACAGTCTGCGTAGACCATATACCTTTCGATACGATAGCAAACTTTTCGTTCTGCACCCCATTCTGCCAGGCGAAATCCACAGGATTATCAACCATTGGGACAAATTTCTCGTTTTGGCTCATTTGGACCTGTGAGATTTATTTATCAGAACAAAGAAATATGGAGGGGAAACATTGTGTAATAATACAACCACAACAAAATGAATTCTCAAGTGACAAAAAGAAGAAAAAGGGAAGAAGGAGGGAAAGAAAATAAATTCAATCAGGTCAAGGTATCTAGGAACTCAAGTCCTTTTTTGGTACTGGGCGTTGCATTCTGTAAGGGTTCTACATTTTTCACAAATTGGTTCTACTTTGAGGTGTATGTTATTAGATGCTGACTCAAAGCCTGAAACCCCTTAATTATTGAAAATGTTGTGCAAGAAGGATGCTAAACTTACATTTTCATGTACAGGAGAGAGTTCTGGTCCTTCCGGATGCTCAATATGATTCCTTGAAAGTTTAGGAGAAAGAGTTTCTTTCTTCCCTGCATCTGGAACTGCCTCAGCATCCAAGGAGTCACTAGCCTAAGTAGAATGTGAAATGAACTACTCAGTCAATCCATGAAAAGAAGTTACAAAAGAATAGCCACTGAATTCAGAAAAAATAGATAATAAATATGCAACTTGTTTAAAATTCAGGCACACATCAACATAGAGGGAAAATAGGAAGAGGCAGGCGCATGCTCATAGAGCAAGTGGAACCTTTGAGGGCACTGTCTCATCTTCTAAAATTGTTTTCTCTTCAATGCTTTCAGCCTGAGATTTCTTTGTGCATTTATGTTCACCATTTTGAACCATCTGCAAGTCAAAGAATTGGTTAGGAGTTCCTTGACTTTGGAAAATAAACCATTCAAGATAATCAATATGACTGCAACTGAGATAAAAAAAAAAAAAAAAGAGAAAGAAAAAGAAAAGAATAAAACAAATGAATAGAAAGAAGAAGGGAAGTATAAGATAGTTGTGGTCCACCTTCAAGATCTCTGGGTCCTTCCATGGCCCCTTATCAGAATGCATACAGCCTCCCTGATCAGCACAAGTGCAAGTACCTCCCAAAAACTCTGGTAACTCACTGATATAAAGTGACAACAGGAAAAAGAAAAAGGAAAAAAATTATCAAAAGAAAAAGAAGCAACACCAAGAATTTTTTTGAAAGGCAGATTGTATTAATGCATTAGTGAATAGAAAATTTACAAGAGAAAAAGAAGAGAGAATGCCAGAAAAAATTATAAAAAGCTAAAAAAAAAAAAACCAACAACAATAATAACAAAATCAGTCCCTAGTAACTCCAGATTTTTCCAACCCATCCACCACAGAATTAGCCTCCCTATAAATATGCTTTAAAGAAAGACAGCAACACTAGGAAAATGTTTGTAACAGTGAATGCGAATGTTTGATGACAATGTGTCTCATAACTTTTTGATCTTCTAAGTTCTAAGTTAGGATTGGAGAAAATTGGAAAGGCAACATGCAAAGTAAAAAGAAGCAGAACTTAGATCACCTAATGGGAACATACCTAGCATCAATAATTTCAAGCAACTTGCTCTGATATTTGTTGCCAAGAACCTGGTACATAATATATTTTACTGATTAGTTTCTATTGGTCAAAACTAGTAAATTCAGTGAGAGGAAGTGTATGCTTACATGGATCTTGGCTGTGGTCTTAGGATCAAGGAAAGACTTAATAGTGTTCCACAACATTCTAAATCCAGAACCTGCATTGATGATGAACATGCGGTTCAAAGTCTGCAAGAAGGGCAACAATTTGCACATCACAAATCTGTCATCAACAGTTAAAAGTCGCAAACAAAACAAAAACTTAGCTATTAAAGAAATTGGTACCTCAGGATAATTGTCACCATCAGTCTTCTGAAGACAAGTGATAAGGTCTCTTGCAGCTTTGGTGAAGCTTTTAAGACCCTGTGTCATTAACTTGAAATTAAGCCAGAGGACATTCTTATACATGATTTATACATTTTTTTAGTCAGAATATATGAGTTATTCTTTGAAAATAAGATTTTGGAAGGTTAGAGGTGGAAGCAAGTATTTTGCAGTCACCAGAGCACTTTAAATTGATTACTCGCATCTTTGATCAAATTCCTTTATCATAGACATAGTGATTATTGTTCTCACTTACCACTCCTTGCACATCCAAGATGGTAGTACTTTGGTCAATGTGCTTCTTGGCAGCAATAGAGCAAGCTGGAAACTTAACATTAAATGTCCTCTCAAACTCCCTTACATGGTATTTGAGATAGCGGTCCATGGTTGTGACTTGCATCAGCTTGGCAGCATCTACTAGGCCTATTCTTTCTATATACACCGGTCGTCCATCCTTATCTACTCCATGGTACCCTTGGGGATAATATTTCTCGACTTCCTCATGCTCCTTGAACTCAAAGTCCTTAAAACATTGAGCAGAAAACCAAAATGGAACTCAGCCAGAGAATCACTTTGTGGGGCAGTTTTGATAATTCAATATTTCAAAGGAACATAAACAAATCGCAGAATTCTATCTTCTAGGACTGACTTCTAAGAAGAATACCTCCAAAATTGTGTCGGTACCAAAGTCCTTCCTCCACTGGAGCATATCAGACCACATTTGCTTTGTTTTCTCAATGTCAAATTTTCTTGCCTTCAAGAACCTGCAGCATCAGAGGGGTACATTTAGAGGTTAATAACTATATGAAAAATCCAAACCAGTTCTATATGTTTGGGATAAACTATCATATAATACTTTTCAAAAAAAAAAAAGAAAAACTATCATATTATAACTTTAAACACTGCAACAACAACAGCTATAACCACATTTGCGGTTGCCTTTCTAAGTTCACCATTTGAATAAAACAGCCAAATAGACATATTGAACAACATATTGATCTACAAAACCAAAGATGAAACAGGACAGAAAGTAACCTGAGCATCATGTGATAATCATCATGTTTTGCAGGCAGCAGTTCCTCCAGTATAAGTGCCTGACGTAAGGCATCAACAGCCTGCAACTCCTCTGCATCATGCACATCCTCAATTTCAACAGACATTACTTTACTGCTCCTCCTACCTTTCTTTGTTAAAGAATTCCTAAATTTATTGGAGGCATTGATTGCTGCCTTCTTGAACGACCCCATTCTGGTTTTCTTTTCTTCCTCAGAGACATCAATATCAGGTGCTGTAGAATGAACCATTATTAACATTAAATATAGTAATAAAAACTGAAAATATCCCAAATGTTCCCTATCTTCTAAGATTTAATTTTCTTTCTTGTTTGGCCATCATTAACAACTAACAATGAAATAGCATACCCCAGAATTCCAATACAATTAGACCACAAAAATTCATGCAAATCAACAATTTTATTAACTAGCTAAAAAGGGTACCTAAACTTGTTGATAGAACATCAAAATATGCATGGAGATCCTAATGACAGAATATAAAACTGAAAGAAAAGAAGGGTGGAAAGAACAAGAAGAGGACCTGGGTTTGGAGATTCAATAGCGGACATGATTTGAGGCTTTGGGAATGAGCAAACAGTAAAGGGCAGAAGAATCAAGCACTCATATATCTGTCATCCCCCAAATGCCTGCACATATAATAATATTAATATTTCCACCAACATTCATAGATTGAGATGAGAAACACTTAAATGCATAGAGAAAGTTAGAAAAAGAAAATACAATATACCTCTGCAAAGTGGGAAGGAGGATAGAAGGGAGAATAATATAAGAGAAAGCTATTTTTTTTCTGTAGGTTTTTTTTTAGCATCCTTCGACAATGGCGGGGAGACAATGAAGCAGACACGACATATTAATCAAAGACAAGATTTGTTAATGTTTGTAAGAAAACTAGAAAAGAAGAAATGGGGTTGTTTTCTTTCTTTATTTGGCATTTGCTTTTTGATGATCATTGACCAAGTCTCAACAGCTATGGCCGTTTTTCTTGCATTTTTTACACTTCAGAAATTTGAATGCGAAATGCGAGGCCTCTCCGTTCAAAATTCTCCTCACCGAGGGAGGGATTCAACTAAACCAAACGGTCTTTTCCTCTTTTCGCGGCAAATTCTTACGAGATTTGACTTTGCTTACTGTTGGTTTTGGATTTGGATTCGTTATGCCCATCTTTTTTACTTGATGGGTAATGGGTCTGGTGCACTAAATATTACTGTATTTTTTTTCTTTTGTGTTAATTTCGGGAAACATGAACTCAGAATTAGACCTATTTTTCAGTGAAGTTTTAAACTTCACAAGTAAAATTAACAAGATGGCACATATCCCTTAAAGGACAATAAAAAATAAAACATGTAGCAACTTCTTAATTCTGCTTGTAAAATTAAAATATTTCACTGCCAATAAATCAAATTTCAACTTCATATTTTAATAATTTATAAGATTGGAACATGCATATACAACCATAACGTAGAATGTCAAAATTTTTTTATTATAAACATTTAGCTAGTGCCATTCATCGATAATTTATGATTCCAACACAATATACATCGAATAGTTTTCACCATAGGATGGTTGAAGTCCGGGTTCTTTCACCAACTAACGTTAATGGCAATGGCAATTCAAGGAAGGTGGAAAGGCTCCACAGCAAGTGAGCCAAAACGAGTAAATAAATCACTGCCTAATGATCGGTCAAAAAAGCATAAACAAATCACGATGTTCACATGATAATAACTAAAAGGATTGGTCAGGAGGGTAGGGTTCTGGCTAGCAAAATTCTCTGCCTTAAACTCGCACCTAGTCCAGAGATTACTTCCACGAAAGAAGCAAAAGGTGGCAGGAAGAAGGAAAGAATGAGGAAGAGAAATATACTAGCGGACACATGAACCTAAAATTGTTGCCATGGTTGTCCTTGGAACTCAGCTGTCAATAGAATACAGAAAATTAGGAGATAGGTGAAAATTCATTAAATTGCCACCTAAGCAGATCATTCATAAAAGGAAGGCTAAGAACTAGCAGCATATTGCTGCAGCAATTAAATTAGAAAACAACTGTTGTATGACCTGATATATAACCAGGCATATAGTAAAGCCATAGATGAATGACCTTTATGGTGATAAAGCGAAGTTACTGCTTCGGAAGTATCATATAGTCAATAGTCTGTCCTTCAAGCTTCCCTCTCTTTTTAATACAATTCAAGCTTCAAACTTGCAAAATCACTACATGACAGCCAAACTTCAGCACCAAACCAAGACAATTTGTAATTACTACTGCTTTGCGGTGAAATGATGAAGATCCTATTTAATTCTGGGTATACAAACTGGACTTCTTGAGATGAGGAAGCAAAAATTAGTTGTAAATAATCACATTTGAAAAAAAAAATGGATAGCCCGATATAAAATGGCAATTATTTTTTAAAATTTTCAGTCAGAATCAGAATCATGATTCAAAGATCTCACAGTCTTGCACCTACTCTCATCATAAACATCACCTTCATCATCATCATCATCATCATTTTTCTTCTCACTAATTATACCTGTAAAATGATAAATGGTTTCATATGCTGCTACATGCTATAAATTGCATGTTGAACTAGACAAAGTCATTACCTTTCTTTATCAGTACAACCTCAAGCATCCTAGTAGCAAAATCATCTTTCCCTCCAAGACCTTGAAATGCAATCAATCTATCTACTGCAATCCCTTTTCTGCCCAAAAATTGCAACTCTTCAAGTTAGATAGATATGATAAAAGAGACACCATTGTTTTCGAACTTTTCTACTTGATTCCTATTAGGATTTCAATTCTGCATCTACATTTTGGCTGATGCTTCAATATTTGACTGGGTTGATACCTATTTCAATATTTGCTTAGTTCTTAGGATAGAAGAAAGAAATAAAGAAAATTAAGGAACTAAACAACTATGAAGCATAAATCTTTTTTTATCTGCATAATATAAACAACTATCAATATTTGTGCCTTCAAGGGGAAAGGAAGAAAAAAAGAGGTAAGAGATGGCTGACCTGAAAATTATGACACAAGGCAAAGTTTTGACGGCAAGTTTGATATCAAAGAATGGTGCATTCTGCCACAAAATTCAGAATCTTATGTTGGCAATGAAAACAACACCACAACGAAAATGAAAATGAAAAACCGCTATCAAATGTTGAAACTGAAAAAGCTCGCTGATGTTCACCTCAGCATCCAGCTTGATGAACTTTGTATCCAGATGCTATGGTGAAAGGGTTTTCAAATGCTTATCCATTATCCTGTATTATCCATATAAATTACCCAATAAGTCTCACACAATTATGATTGAGCATGCACAGTGTGTGTGCAAACATTTATGTCACTTCATTTGTATATGTATGTGTGACAGACAGACAGAGAAAAGTAAAAACTTTACTTGCATCAAATTAACTCCTTATGGTAGAAGTGACAAATCACTTTCTCACTTCCAGTGACTTCACCCAAGAAATCTCCTTCACTAGTCTCCCTGTACTCTTCGTGTCCTTGCCTCTTTAATGCTTCTCGCTTCTCAGCTTCTTTCTGTTCAACTTAAATCCTAGTGTTATTACAGAGTGCTGAAGAACTATCCCCAGATCTATATATCTTATTGCAACATATTGAATTTCTAACCTTGAAAGAGGCAATCGAGTAAGCATGCAATTTTCCCAGCTCAGGATCCTGTATACAAGAAGGTCACGAGCCTACATAAAAGCAGAGTAATGTAGAATGGATCAAAGATACTCCATCATAAAATATAGAAAGCTTCATAAGACTTACATCCAGCAGCTCATCAAGGTCAACCTTGCCTGAAGTTGATGACTTGCCTTCTGTTGAGCAAGCAGCTCCTGTAAGATCATCAAATTGACACAAATTAAACACATACCACTTCGCATAACTATCTTGTTACCAACTATATTGGACAATCAGACATCACTAGCTAAGTCAAGTCAATCTGGCTTAGACCATTTAAACATTATCATAAGAACAATCAGAACCATCAATTTACAGTTCCCAACCAACCCTTCAGACGCACTTTTTAAATCCAAAACAGAATCTTAAAATTGTATGATTTTAGAAGAACATAGACTTTCAACAACCATGAGTTCAATTACATAGCTTTACTACACTAACTAAAAGTCCCAGCACAAGTTACTCCCTCCGACTTCTCTAACAAAAATACAGTCATTTCAGTGACTTAGCAGTAAAAATATGCCCAAAAAGCAAGTAGCTACAAATCCAGTTAGTATAGTATATCCAACATTAACAAAAGAAAGAAAAAAAAAACCATAAAAAAGAACCGAAAATAGAGAGAAAAGTACCGAAAAAGACAACCTTTTGATAGTCACGAGCAGCTGCTGCCTTTACATTCCCAAATGCTAAAATAGACAAAGTTGATTTAACTGAATTTGGATCCATTTCTCTTTCTCTGAAAGATATAAACAAAAAAAAAAAAATACATAGAAGATTTAAAAAAACGAGGCTTTCACGGAAATTATAAAGAAGCAAGCAGACCCAGAATAGAATCTTACCGTCTTTTTGTAAAGGCTGAACAACAACGGAAAACAAAATTGGGATCTAGAAAATTTGAATGAAGAAAAAGGTCTCATACGAAACGCTCCGGTTTCGACGGTGGAGTTACTGTGGGCCGCTGGAGGCTACTCTTAGATCTTCAGGCCCAAATTCAATCCTATATCAGAGATAACCGATGTGTCCATTCTAGGCCCAAATATTGGAATGACTCGACAGCCTTTTGAATCAAACACGAAAATTTTGTAAAAATCATGTTATTTTTATTTATTGAATTTTTTTTATAAAATTTATTTAAGTAAAAAATAAAAAAATATTAAAAACAAAAATAAAAAGATAAAAATGAAAAAAAAGTTTATAGAAGATACTAGATTAATATTTTTATTAAGTTTAAAATATTAATTTTCTAAATTAATGTATTAAAAAATAATTTTATTAATATAATATATATAATAAAATTAACAATTAACGTACACTTTTATATATACCCTTAAAAGGGTTGAGATAGTACATCTTAAATATGCTTCTATCTTAATTTAATTTATATATATATAAAAAAAAATTAACTTTATCCTAATTCAATTTTGATTTGAAAAAATTATCCTTTATCATATTGAAATATATTGAAACTTATCGAATATAAAATGTTTTAACATCTCTGTCACTTGACATCTTTTATTATAAAATTATCCAATTAAAAAATTAAAAAAGAAAAAAGAAAAAAGTTAATATAGGGGTGTTACGCAAAATTACCATCGACCTCTTTGTTTTCATAAAATTAATTTAATTAAAAAAATAAAAATAAAAAAAGGGTTGATCGGGGTGCAACATGACTTCTTAATTGAGCTTAAAATATTAATATTTTAAATTAAGAATAAATAATAACTTTAATAATTAAAAAATAAAAAAAATAAAAAAGATTACAAAAAAGAGAAAAAATATATTATTGAGGTGTCATATGAAAATGGCACAAAAGAAAAAAGGAAAAAAAGCCAAATGAAAATGTTAAAGTATTAAATAATAGTTTTATTAATATAATACATATATAAATATTAAATTAAAATAAATAATAAAAAAATATATTTATATATTTATTCGAAGTGGCAAAACACCCTAAACTCACATCTAATTTAATGTCGATTTTAGAAAAAAAAAAGTCTCAATTCAATCTCAAATTTAAAAAAGCACACTTATTATATCTAAAAAGAAACCCTAACACATAAAAATAATAAAAAAAAGAATAAAAAAGAAAATAAATTAATAATAACAAATGGGTGTGGAGATCCACACCTAACTTGCAGGATATTATTTGCTTTAACTCAAAACTCTTATAATTTTATTCCACAAAAGACACATCACACGTTTGAGTTTAGTTTTAAATTTCTACATAAATATCTTATCATATACTCACATATTTTCATTGTGAGAGTGGAAGTGTCACAATCTCTTCTCATTGAAACTTGACATTCTCGTCAAACTCAACACATAACATATAGATTTACAAAATTATAATCATACAAAACGTTAAGATTCTAAAAGTAACTCTCATCATGTAACATCTAACTTCTTTGGGATTTTAGATGTGATTCTCATGGTATAACACTTAGCTCCCGTTTGACTAATGATCACTCTGATAATATTTATGGAGTCCTGTAACTAACCTATAAGGTATTGTTTGCTTTAATCTGAATGTCATATAATTTTATATTACAAAAGATACCTCACAAATTTAGATTTAACTATACATATATATATTATGATATATTTACATTCTTTCAATACGAGTTGAAGGTGTCACAATGGATCTTATACATAAAAAATAAAAAAATAAAAAAATATTGATTTAATATTAAATAAATAATTAATTAATTAAGCAAAATGCCAAAAGAAAATGTATTGAAGGAGCATTTAGTACTTTGTAAGATCTCCATACATATGCACAACTTAAAATATAAATAATTTTTTTTTTTAAAAAAAAAATGAAAGTGCATTTATTAAATTGAAGTATTAAATAATTATCTTATTATATAATACATATATATAAATTTAAATTTAAATAAAAATAAAACACCTATTTATATTATGAATTAAAAATGAAAATAACAAAAAAAATCAAATTCTTATGTGATGCTGACACATTTATAAGATTGTTTAAAAATATCATATAAAAAATAAATAATCAATAATATCAAATAACCTTTGCTTAAAAAATTTTAAAATATTAAAAAGTATTTATTAAATATTAAAAAAAGATAAAATAAATAGAAAAAAATGAAAGAAAGGAAAAAAAGGAAAAATGAAAAATAAAGCAAATAAGGTACTTTCCCTTGACACGGACCTAAGGAGGAGTCCTGAATCTCACATCGAACATAATAGAAAGGACACTGGGGTATATAAGGGTTCACACCACCTCCGTCTTGTGAGACGACTTTTGTAGGACAAAACCGTGAAGTCAGGGGGTCAGAGCGAACAATACCTCACAAAGGTGTGAACCGTAGCAGGAAGGCTGATCCGAGACGTTGGAAGGGTGAATGCCCGAGTCCCAGAGCCGTGCGGGTTCGAAGCTTAAGTCTCGACCCGTGATAAGTAGTATCAGAGCCAACCCTAAACCGTTCGATCTACGCCAAGCACCTTGAGGGAGGTAAGCAGGGTGGTCAGCTTCCGTGACGAGGGCGTCATGAGGTTGGGTGCGGGAAGAATATCACAGACCTAAAGAAGAGTCCTGAAACCCACATCGAACATAATAGGAAGGTCACTGAGATATATAATGGTTTACATCACTTCCGTCTTGTGAGGAGGACAAAACCGTGAGGCCAGAGAGGGCCAAATCGGACAATACCTCACAAGGGTGTGAACTGTGACAGAAAGGCTGACCCAAGATGTCGGAAGGGTGAATGCCCGGGTCCCGGAACCACGCGAATTCGAAGCTTAAGTCTCGACCCGTAACAGCCTCACCTTAAAAATTTTAGTATAAAAAAAATTGTTGTAAAAATATAATAGATGCCTAAAAGTATTTTTATTTGTCTCACAGGCAGCTATATTTACAAGTTAAGTGATTTATTTCTCAAAAGCAATTCGAGAATAGTACAAGTACTTATACTAGACATTGAAAATAGTAATTCTAATGTTTGATGCATTTAACTGAATTTAGACACGTGAATGACATTAGTTCTAGATTTAACTCTTGTGCTCCTCCTTGAACCATACTCCACCTCTGAACCCAACATCATCAATTGGGAAAGACACTAATTCTGGACACCAACTAACATTCACAATTCTCAAAGTTTGCATCGCTTGTTGCAACATTGGCCATTGTACTTCCAAATCTGATAGTGATTCCAACATCAAGGCTTGGATTTTCCAAGCAAAATTATTATCTGCACCCCAAAAGCTCTGATGCATACTTGCAAGATTTCCAGATGAGATTGAAAGATATTTAAGCAACGGAAGTGCTATAGGGTTGAGCCAAATTGGACTTATCTTTCCTGGATAGAACTTCAGAGACAACTCATGAAGCTGTTGTGGAGGATAGAGTTTGTCAAGTTTTGATGTGAGATCACTCCCATGGCTACCAAAGCAACTTATTGACAGATTTTCCAAATCTTGAAGGTTCACCATTGCGTTAACCTCGCTATCTCCGACTTCGTCACCATGTGTTAGATGTAATCCAAGAATCCTCAACCGTGTCAAATTTCTTAGTTCTCCAATACGACAACCATGACCAGATCTTGCAGGTCTAAAACCCAACAATACTTCAAGGTTTGAAAGCCTTCCCAAGCCTTTTGGCAAGCATTCAAGTGAACCACAATGGCTAACATCTAAGACCTTGAGCTTCTTTAATGTAATGAGGTAAGGAGGCAAAATTTTTAGATTTTGACAATAACTCACGTCCAAAATCTGAAGGTTGTAGGCTTTTTCCAGGGAAGCTGGGAGTTCAATCAAAGGATGAGTGTTGCTTAAACTGAGATAAGTTAGATGCTGAAGTGAGCCAATATGAAACAACAAGCGACCGAGAGACAATTCAAAGATTGATTTTGAAACATCCAAAACTCTTAAGTATCGGCACTCACTAAATTTTTTTGCAATACTTGATTCAATCTTGTTCACTTCTCCGCTTTTGGTTGTGGACAGCAATCCCCTCAACTTCTGATTAGCATTAAGCTGTTTTCTATCCATGTTGTTACTGATTCCCCAATGGCGGCAATTGATGCCATTTGTTCTGTAAAATGCATCATCTTCTGCTATTTTCAGGACCACATCACGAACCATATCATGCATTTTGCAAGTGATAATTGTTCCGTTATAAGTCTTGTCGACTGCCTCTATCAAACATCGATTTGTTAACCCGGAAAAACAATCTTCACCAGCATCAGTTGAAGACCTACCACTTCTCAATGGGACAAATCCCTCACCAATCCACCAATGGACTACTTGTTCTTTTGATATGACACAGTCCTCCGGATAAACAGAGAAACTAAGGAAGCATGACTTCAAGTAAGAAGGGAGCTCATCATAACTCAATTGCAATGACGCCATCACAGAGTTATCATTTTCTGCCAATTCATCTCGAAAATGGTTTGCAATTCGCCTCCATTCACGATAGTATGGTGCTTTACAAAGCATCATTCCTCCGACAGCTTTGATGGCCAAGGGAAGACCCTTACACTTGTCTACAATCTCTTTTCCAACATCTTCCAAATCAGGGTAGATGCACTTACCTTCACTTGCAGCAAAAGCTATTTTTCGAAACAGAAGCCAACTATAATCTTTGTTTAGGAATTTAGGCCTATGGATCCTTATTTCTTTCACTCCCATCTGTCGTGAAACCTTCTCGATTCTTGTTGTGATGATGATACAACTACCATTTCCTTTGGGTAGCCCCACACAAATTCTTTGCCACCACGCAACATCTTCTCTCCATACGTCATCCATCACAATCAAATACCTCTTGCCTAAGAGATATTGGTTTATTTTTTTCAACAGTTCATTTGCATCGTCCCCCACACTTGCATCTCCCAAATTTCTCAACATGCTTCTCATGATTTGTTCTTCAGTGAATGTCTGAGAAACAGAAACCCACATTCTTCTGTCAAACTGATGCTCTATTTCTCTTTCATTGAAAACTTTCTGAGCAATAGTGGTCTTGCCCAATCCTCCCATGCCAACGACTCCAATTGCTAGTATTTCATGCCTCCCTTCACGAGCCGCTTCAAATATCCAGTCTTTAATCTTCTGAGTGTCAGCTTCTAGTCCAACCACTTGAGTGTGATCATACACATGAGAGCTCCATCTGGGCATTTGGTCCCCTCCATTTATGACCTCTGGTTGGAATAAAAGAGGGCCACCAAGGAGTGATGAAATGTTCTGTTTGATGTGGGTAATCTTCTCAATAATTTCCTTGAGACGCTTTCCACTTTGGTACTTGAAATGAAGCTTTGGGGGAGAGATACATGTTAACAAACCTTGGGAAAATAGGTTGTCTTCCCTTGATTGAAGTTGGCAATCCGCCAGTATATCTTCAGCTTCATAAATCAACTCTCGCAGATCAGCCAAGATGTTGCGTATAGTATGATTCTTCCTCTTCAGCCTATCTGCATCCTTGAGGAAACATTGCATCAATTGAAGGTCAGTTTGTAGTTTTTCAAATTGATCTCTGAATTCAGTCACATAGCGGCCTTCCTCTGCAAGAGTGTTTAACAGCTTTTCCAAGAACATATTGACTATTGCATCCGTCATGCTTTTTTCCTTGCAAAAAATTAAAAAAAAAATCCAATAATTTTGGAGCACTGATTACTCTAAATCCAATTTGTCCAAGGGTTCGAAAAGATAAAATGACAAAAAAAAATCCAAACCAATTATACAACAACCAGTCAAACCAACATTCACAGCTAAACAGGAAAGCAAGAATTAGCAGCATCTTTTTTTTTTCTTATGTTCACCAGGTTCTTCAACAGTAACCAAACAACTGCAACTAATAGAATAGAACCGTAATATAGCAAACAGGGTCGACAACAATTTCTCTTCCCTCACTAGGTTGAGAAGGTTGATCCATTACAATGAAATGTGAACTAGAATGAAGTCTAAGATGAGTCATGTCCATTTAAGTTTACAGTTTGTTCAGATCATCTAAGGGCGCAGACTTTCCTTATTGTACTCTAGTGGCTGGATTCTCAAAGAATTATAAGATTTATCCCAGGAAAATTATACGGCCTGAACTTATTCTTCATGACATGATGGCAAAATGGAGGATCAATTCAAAAGATGATAATACAAATCAATGATCAAACATCAATAAAGATAATAATAACAGTGGTAATCACCAAATACATGGTGGAAAAGGAAAGAGCAAAGGTCTAATTACTCTCAAAGCCTTAAAGCAAACTTACAATTGAGGTATTCCTGGCAAGACTTTGTTGATTTTGGAGAGGAAATCTATGGATCCAGAGCTTTGTTCAAATTAAGGAAAAGAAGACCCAATAATATAAGCTTAAAGTCTAGAATGTGAAAGCGGATAGAATGGTACATAAAACGCGTACAAATTAGAGTCAACTACGCGTATTTGAATGACCTTGAAACTAAAGAGAACTACCACTCCCCTTCGTAGTAGCTTCCTTCCTGCTAATCCTCCTCTAAATGACTGAGTTTTTTCCTTGTCTTTCATTAGCCTTACCATTTTCTTCAGTTGGGGAAATATTCCCAATTTCTTGTTCTGCTTTTTGGTAGCTGCCATATTCCCAAATTCTAACAATTTGGCTTTGTGTAGGATAGAGATGCAAAATGTGAACGAGGTTTAATATATTTCTTTTGAGTTTTGCACTAAATCATTTTTTTCTGAATCCATGAAATTGGGTTCTTTTGATAATAATATCTTTAAACTACAAAAACTCTAAAATGGGTTCGTAACAAAAGTAAGTTTTGCAATGTAACATATTTTCCTCATGGAAATTACATTTAGTAGTGAAAGAAAATCTGTGAAAGCTTGAATATTTTGCAATGACATATCAGTTGGCATAAAATTTAAAGGTCAACGGGTTTATGAACACAATCCTAGATTAGGCTAAATTATTTGAAGAGACATTCCAGTCTGTAAAATCGGATGAAATCTTTAATAGAGTTGCAGAGAAAGGATTCCAAGGATTCCAAAACTGAGCTAATATTTTATTTATAAGAAAATTTCTAATGAAATTTACATTTTATTGGAGTACTGTATTCTTCTAAACCCATTTCTTACTTTTCCCATTCCTTTTCTGTTCGTCATAATTTTCTTTTCGTCGCCATCGGTTTTCAATCTCTTAATTCTTGATACTATTGCAGTGAGTCTTCTGATAGAGGATCGAACTTCATCGGACTCTGTTGCTTTATTCTTGATTTCATCGGCTTCACTCCTCTTACGTTTAAGGAAGTTAACAAGACCTTGAAGAACAGTATTAGCATCATCATTCTTCATCAATTCCTCAGCCACCTCTGCTGGGGTCACCTCTGTACTCTTTATTAAGCCATTAATTTCTCCGAAGAAAGGATTCTTTTCGCTGTCTATGCCCAGATAATTCGAAGCTAAGAGCCTGAACCCATCGGGGGTGCAATAGGACATGTTGATGTGTAGGTCCATTCGACCAGGACGCAACAGAGCAGGGTCAATCCGATCCTTATGGTTAGTTGTGAACACGATAACTCTCTCATCACCACAGCTTGACCACAGACCGTCGATGCAGTTTAATATACCGGACAGCGTCAACTGCTGTACAAAGAAATGTCAAAATAAATAAATAAAAAAACATTTAAGTTCGCAAAAGCAATGTCTTACGAACATGTTAGTGAACTACTAAAACAACAAAATTACAAGCACAGGTTTTATTTGTTGGAATATTGACTCAAATCCCATAAGAGATTTGTTTGAGATTTGTTTGAGATTTGTCAGATATTGCTTGATAGACAAGAAAGATTTGCAAAAGAAGAATTCCAAGAGAAAGAGGATTCTTAATAGGTAAGTTTGACTTGCAAGAGAAGAATTCTAAAAAGAGAGGGATTCTTAATGGGCAAGTTTGTATGGTTATAAATAGGTGAAGTCTTTACAGGGTTAGGTATGAGAAAAAGATGTAGAGAGTTGTAGGGTTTTGTGGATAGACACCCCTAGGAGTATTGGGGCTCTACGTCTTATGGGTGTGTATGTTTGTTTGTGAGTGGACTAGAGGAGACTGAGAGGATCCACATAGGTATGATGTATGAGAGCATATGGGTATGTGTTTGGTTATATTGAAAGAGTGCACAAAGGTTTGGGTTTGTGTTTGTTTGGGTAGAGAATACTTCATAGGACTAGAGGAGATTGAGAGTGTCTTATGAGTATTGATTGTTGAGTGAGGTTGATGATATGATGTATGTTTGTAATTCTCTACAACTAGTGGATCTTGTTTCTCATCCGTGGATGTAGGTCAATTGGACCGAACCACGTTAAATTGTTGTCTCTTGTGTGTTTGATTTATTATTTGATTTCGCTTCCGCTGGTGTGATTGGATTGGAGGCTTTTAGCCCAACAAATGGTATCAGAGCTGTGGTATTCCTCAACAAATGGTATCAGAGCTGTGGTGTTCCTCAACAAATGGTATCAGAGCTGTGGTGTTCCCCAATAAGTGGTATCAGAGCCGAAGGTTCGAGATGTGAAAGAGCTGAAAGTTCGAGATGTGGGAAGAGCTAAAGGTTTGGGAAGTGCATGATTTGAGACATGGAAAGAAGCAAGTTCAGAAGAGCTCGATTCAAGATAAGAGTTCAAGTTCGAGTTTTGAAGATTGAAGATTGGTTTGTATGAAGCGTGAAGACACAAGAGAAGGGAAGATGATTGTGAGACTTTCATTGTAGGTAGAGCCAAGCATATCTAGCATGAAGACAAATGATTGATTGAATTTGAGTCAAGGTGGAGATTGTTGGGAATATTGACTCAAATCCCATAAGAGATTTGTTTGAGATTTGTTTGAGATTTGTCAGATATTGCTTGATAGACAAGAAGATTTGCAAAAGAAGAATTCCAAGAGAAAGAGGATTCTTAATAGGTAAGTTTGACTTGCAAGAGAAGAATTCTAAAAAGAGAGGGATTCTTAATGGGCAAGTTTGTATGGTTATAAATAGGTGAAGTCTTTACAGGGTTAGGTATGAGAAAAAGATATAAGAGAGTTGTAGGGTTTTGTGGGATAGACACCCCATAGGAGTATTAGGGCTCTACGTCTTTGGGTGTGTATGTTTGTTTGTGAGTGGACCTAGAGGAGACTGAGAGATCCACATAGGTATGATGTATGAGAGCATATGGGTATGGTGTTTGGTTATATTGAAAGAGTGCACAAAGGTTTGGTTTGTGTTTGTTTGGGTAGAGAATACTTCATAGGACTAGAGGAGATTGAGAGTGTCTTATGAGTATTGATTGTTGAGTGAGGTTGATGATATGATGTATGTTTGTAATTCTCTACAACTAGTGGATCTTGTTTCTCATCCGTGGATGTAGGTCAATTGGACCGACCACGTTAATTGTGTCTCTTGTGTGTTTGATTTATTATTTGATTTCGCTTCCGCTGGTGTGATGGATTGGAAGCTTTTAGCCTAACATTATTGGTGATTTTAAGCCAGTTCTATACAGAAAATCTGGGTCTCATCTGACATCCAGTATCAATTTGCCTAAATTGCAAGCCAAAATCTTCACCAATTCTTAGATACAAAAAATTTCAAGAGCTGTAGATATAGATGTAATTTAAATGATAAATTTACTTTTTGAAATGTGAAAAAAGTACTTACCCCAGCTTTAGCAGGTTGCTGCTTGTTTTTGTTTCCAATTTGATTCGTGCAAAACCCTAGGCAAAAATTATGTCTTCAATCAATAGTATAGACCGATTATAAAAATTATGACAGCATTCCTCTTAAACTCAGCATCAGAACGTACACTGGTCAGCCCCAAATCATATATATCAAACTTGAGATAATTAGCCATGCACACCAAATTTTATAATTACCATAAAAATACTGCAAGATACCCTCTTTCAAATTTTCCAACTTTCTATAATAATACTCTTTCTCCTTGAAACATTATCAAATCATCAATGATCATTTTCTTTAGATCTGGGTCCATCACCAATGTAGCAAAAGTAGCTGGATGCTCCAGGGTTATAGAACCCCAAGAACCTGTTCTTCCATCATCATCTTCAGTGAATGGGCATTGACGGCTATAAAGCTTTATCACCCTATCTTGATTTTTTATCTCCTCAGCTTTAAGCAAAACGTAAGGCAAGTAAGAATCCAATACTTTATCTTTATGCTTCTTGTTGAAGCTGAGTTCAAAGAGTCTTTTCTCTCCAGGGTGCGGTTTCTGACTTTCCATACAAACAAGCCTCCATGTTAATTGAACATCATCAAAACGATCAACAACTGTTTCCCCCTTCTCGATGGCGATCGTAAAATGTTTCTGTTTTCTGGTTTTACCAACTTTGAGACGCTCTGTTTTGGGGCTGATCCTGGTGCTGAGATAGACTTCAGCTGCTTCATAAACTTGATTCTTACACATTCCACATCTCTCATCGAAAGCAAGAGTGAGGTTTGGCGAGAGAGGAGTGAAGAAGTAGCGAAAAGTAGAAAAAAGGTAAGATCTGAGCTGGTGGGGAATCAGTTCATTGGCCATGGATCGGACCAACATCATGGATCCCGCAAACGAGGCATAAGCAGAAAACAGTGTGGATGCAGTTTTAGAAATTTCTGATGAAGAAAACATGGAAGCCATTTGTTGGAATCAGAGCAACGACTACAGTGGCTGGGTGTGAGAGGCTGAGTAATACTCCAGTAGACTGTTTTTGTAGCCTATTCTCTAGTTAAATCAGACTTTCTTAATACTTTCTTAAAATTCATGATTCCGTACAGCCCTTTGTTATTTATTCCCCATTTCCGATGCAGAATAAATTGAGTTTTAAATAAAGTTTATTGGTAGGAAAAGTATTTTAAATTTGTTTAAAAATAAAACATATTGGCTTCTTGCTAAGTAGCCATAGATATAATTGGACACCACCGACTTTCTTGGTCTTTACGACTGCTTTTAAACGTAGGGACATTAAAGGAATCTTTTGTGATAAACAAACTGTACGAGTTACGTGTCTTCTTTTGACTCGTTATTGATAAAGTAGGCTGAAGGAAGTTGGATCCGACTTTCCTTGCTCAAAACTCCACAAATCACCGTTGTCAATAATAAAGAGCTAGATTCCTATTTGAAACGCAGGGCAAAGACCTGGGAAGTCTTCCAAATATTATCCTCATAGATCTACCACGTTCTCTTTTGAGACTCAGCACTAGCTTTACTGGAAAGTATCTATAAACAAAAGCATGCGCAAAAGGGGAGAGGGATTGTTAACATTTTCCCAACAAACAAACATGAACAAGACTTTTCGTGGGATATGAATTGTCTAAAAGGTCCATTAACTTCTCCTAAATTTGAATAAGAATCCCAAGGATTCGACCAAATTTAAGCCACTGAATGTCTAAAAACAG